TTTGCACAAAGGAGGCCTGAGATCTGCACTGATGCACTTACTGTTTCATTTCAAGGTCAACGCTTCAACTACACATACTATGATGATGCACAAGGAGAGATCTATAGATCTATTGAGCATCTTGACAAAATGGTAATGAATTTAGTGTGTAATAAAACTTTTTTTTTTCTAATAATCCTAACCTCTTGTTTGCTGTATCCTTTACTTATTTGTTTAGGGGATGCGCATTATAGAGTCGTTGGATCCAATCCTTTTTACCAACTACCTGAAGAAGTATCGCAATACTATCTGTGGACGGCATCCTATTGGAGTGCTACTAAATGTGTGTATACCAAAAAAAAACATACTGTGCTCATTCATTTTAACAGCCTCTTGGTGTGAATTGTGCTCTGATCTGTCCCTGACTGTTTCAGGCTGTGGCTGAGCTGAGAAAGAATGACATAGATATGAGCTTCACTTTCTTGAACTACGCACAGTCGAGTGAGTGCCGGAGCATGGATGATAGCTCTGTGAGTTACGCCGCCGGAGCACTCGTCGTCCATTGAGGTCAAAGGTCGTAGGGGCCTCAGCAGCGTCGCCACTCGACCCTTACGATCTATCGCCATATCCCCTCCAAATACCTGCCCCGCCCCAGCTGCACCTATTACTGCAGAATGGACCTAGACACTCAAAGCCAATACAATCCCACCTCTGTCCACCTTTCTACTCTCTCCTCTCAACTTGAAGTGTGCTGGAGCTCTGGATTGAAGTATTTAGCTTGAAGTGCAGTTTTGAGATTATGTAGGCTATGGTTAGAGGAGTTGTGAAGAGTAGGTTTAATTTGGGATTTTGGAAAACCTCAGATTATAGCAAGAAACAGATGTTTATCCCCTTTTGTTTACATGAAAGAAGATAAATAAGTTGTAAATCTAACGTTTACTTTTACTCAAAACAAGCAGACCTTTTGTAATTTGATTCAGTGAAGAAAAAAATAAAATGGCAAATTTCTGAAAACAATTGAAAATGGTGCCAGATAAACATGATTGAGGAGGTGAAGGCTTTTGCTGTTTGTCATAGGTAACAATCTCCATATAGCTCTTTATATATTAGTTGCTAACAAAGGGCTGCAACCAACAGAACTTACTAACCCCCTGCTATGTAAAACCAAAAACATTACATATATTATACCCAATTTATTAAGTTTAGCTCTTGTTTTAAAGTATTTTATGAGATGTGGTAGTATTTACCTAAACAGTTTTTGGATTTTGAACAAAGCAGAAGTGTCACACAGTTATTTCTCATGTACAACAGTTAAATATTTGTAGCATCCTTTTACATTTGAGATTTATATTGTATAGTCTGCGGATCTTTCGCCACCGCTGGACTGCATTTTAGGTGGAAGTTTACCAAAATGGCACCTACGGTTTAGACTGATAGACAAATGCATACAGTTTGAGATTTTAGGCCACAAAATATTTCCTTTCAGTCCAGGCACAGCTTTGATGGGCTACCCAAAACTAGTTATTAGAATTGACTAATAATAAGATAGTAATAAGGTTTGAATACATTATACCATGCATTAAAATAAATTTACTATTACACTGATATGATGATTTTCAAATATTTCTCCACAATTTGCAGTAGCATTTTCAGGTTTTGAAGAGTAGGCATAAGCAGCAACAGCGCACAATGTTAAATGCTCCTCTGGTATATTGCAGCCTTCATAAGTGGCTCTGCAGCAAAAAACAAAGTGAGTGGAACGGAAAGGCTGTTACATTTTACATCAGGCTACAGTACTTTGGGCCCGCTTGACCTCTAATTTAAAGGAAACTAGTTAAGCATGACACACTGTGCTATTGTGCCTTTTCTCACCGTTGCACATAAACATATACAACATATTATTGTCACGTTTAAGTCTTATATTAGAATGTGTACTCTTCGTTTCTCTTCCCATCTGTGGCTCTCTCTCTCTCCCCCATGCTTAGTTCACCCAGCTCGCCCAGGCTGTGTGACCCCCCCCCCTCATCGGTCTAAAATGGCACCAACTGTTATCTCCTGTCTCCAGCAGGGAGTGGTGTTCGTTTTGTCCACCTCACCTCATTCCCGTAGAGGCAAAAGCTGAAACCTCAGTACTGTTCATGTTCTGTTTTACAAATCTTTTTTTATTTGGAAGTTGTTTTTTGTATTATATTGTTTTCAGTTTTTGCTTAGAGAATGGGAACTTACACATCACATACATTAAAAATATAAAAAGAAAAAAATTACTTACTGCTCCCTAAATGGAGTTTTTTATCTCAGGTTCCACTGACAAAGCATCCCAAAAGGCTCTTAAGAAAAGGCCGAAGATTCATGTTACAAAAAAAGTAAAATGTTCTGAAAAACAAATCTGTGTTAATTTGTCTTTTTTTAAACTTTACACAACATTTAATTGTTAGGATTGTAGGATTATTGCAAAACTTATCTCGTGTCTCAGACATGAGCCAGATGTCATTGTCCATTTTTGGAAGATATGGGTTTAAACCTTGTGTGTTTTATTTATATTTGTTTGTGTTAATTTTGTCTTGATTTCCACAAAAGGTGAGGCACATAAGCCCCCCCCACATGCAGTATATTTCAAATAGGGCTCAGATTAGTTCAGTTCACAGTGCACATTAACACAACCAGGAGTATTGACATTTGGATATTTTGTTTTTTATGGCTTCATTTTTTGTATAAGGTTTGCATTTTCACCCAGAATTAAGAGAACGTTTATTTTTATTATAAAATGTGAAGTTACAGTTTCACAACAACGTAAGTAAATATAAATCCTATTAAAATACAAACTGAATATCAAGATGTGCTAGTATAATATTATGCACATTAAAACTATGCATCAGCAAAACTACTATATACAATAAGTGACTGGATATTCATTGAGGATACATGAACAAAAACAGACCCCACATGTTCCAGAGTGTGCACAGGATGGCCTGCTGATTTGTAAGAAACACAGGATTGCAAAAGCTGCAGTCTTGAACTCCATGGGGTCTTATTTGTACAACTGAGCACTATTCTCGCTAGAATAATCACAAAGAATAATCAACCTAATTATCCTAATCTTAGCCCTGCCGCTGAAGCAGCTCTCTCACATTTCAACAGCAGCATTCCAGCACACCTCTAACTGGATTTTGGGTGGAGTTTACCGCCTTGTTTACAACCAGTATTACACAGACGCTTGATCTTAACCTTATGAAAGAGAGGAGTAATTTCCTGTTCACGCTAACCTGGAGGTACAGCCTGACAAAATGCACTGTTCTCACAATTTGGTGAACGTTCTGAGCTGTGGGATGATCCTGGCTAGTGTGGGACACCTCATTTATCATAAAGAGGCACAGGCTTCGTACGGGCGACACATGGTGCTCAAGGGTCCCATCTGGATGGTCCCAGCCAAAGTGGCTTGGTTTCTCCAAGAGATGCCAGCACTCCTGATCCCTCTGCTCCTCAGCCTCTCATCTCACAACCCCTCCAGCCTGGGCCAGAGTCTGCTAATTTGGACCTTCTGTTTACATTACTTTCAGAGGTAAGTATTACTAACTAACAGATTTTTGTGGCTTCAGCATTTATTAAGGGTGCATTCAAACTTTCACACACACTACATTAAAATTGGAATCTGAGATTAAAAGAAGAAGTCCCCTGGACTAAACCAGGACTGAACCAGGTTAAAACTGGACCAAACCAAGTCTGCATCATTCCTAAACAGGGCTCCATCCAAGTGTGGACGAACCTTAAAAGGTAACTGTAACATCACTTCTGACACATGTGAAAGAGCACTAGGAGTATTAGAAATGATAAAACATATATAAAGTATGTGTTTTGAGTTCTTATTGTGCAAAATGCAACTTTGATCATATGCATATCAAAGATGTTGATATGCATGTGCAAATGTTGTTGTTTGCTATCGATTACATTTGTTGGATTTTATTAGTATCTAAATTGTATATTTTATTGTTGATATGATTGAATACAGGAGGTAGTACAGTTACCTTTACTTGAGTAACTTTTCAATAACAAATAAACATAAACGTCTAAATAACTTTCAGACACAACACTTTACTGTGGTGCATTCTTTGATGTTTTGTCCATAAAATTAACATGAATGCATAAAATCAGATGTTACTTACTTTTAACTCATCCTTGAGTAATTACTTGAACCTCTAGTTTGTCCTTCTACTTGAGTAATACAATTTTTAAGTAATATTTTGAACTGTTTATTCTACTGCAGGACATTTGTATACTCCCTGCTTACCAGAGGACGGCCTTTCCCGTTGCGTGTGATGGTCACAGCAGGTTTCTCCTGCTCTTTGAATGGCTTCCTCCAAAGTTACTACCTGCTGCACTGTGCACAGTTTGGGGAGGAATGGACTTCAAAAGTTCACTACAAAACAGGTCTGAACACTGAAATATTCTTAGATTCCCCTTGTCATTGGTAAATAATTTCTCAAAAGAGGAGTTCTTTTTATCAAGGATTAATGCTGTTCTACATTGGTATGGCTATAAATATACATAGTGACTATATTCTCCGTAACTTGAGGAAACCCGGCGAAGTCGTTTACAGAATTCCTAAAGGTAAACACGAGATTACACCTGGATTAAATTTCCTTCAGATCATCATTAAGATCATGTGGATGTTTTTCTTCACTTCTGCAGGAGGACTGTTCGAGTACGTGTCCAGTGCTAACTACTTAGGGGAGATTTTGGAGTGGTTTGGATATGCACTCTGCACTTGGTCCCTGCCAACACTGTCATTTGCTCTATTTAGTCTGTGTTTTATTGGACCAAGAGCCTATTACCATCACAGGTATTTAAAGGCCTGCATTTTATTTTTGTAACCTGTTGTATGTTCTGCCCTATGTGATTATATCTATTTTTATAGGTTTTACCAGGAGAACTTCAAAGACTATCCAGTGTTAAGAAAGGCTTTGATTCCATTCATCTGTTAAAATTACCGGACTGACTCAATACATTACAAATATATTAACACAGAGACACAATAAATAATGTTTTGTTAGAATGTATCTTACAATACTAAGGGTGTTCAACAAGCAGTTCAATAAAAAAATAAAATAAAATAAAAATAAAAAATCTATTGTATCTCTTTTGTTTGTACTAATAATATTTTAGTATGACCTTTAAGCACCATCTTCTGGTAATATTAGATAACTATGGCCTGTAATTGTGGGAGTAGCAGGATACTTAATTTGTATTAATGTATGCTGATGAACTCAGTCATTTTCAAGATTTCCCTTTTTCTAGTTTGTATCCTGTATTATATATTGCACGTCTAGAGCAAGATTAGCAGTTTCTACAGCAACCTGGAGCCCATTAACTTTGGCTGTAAAGGAGTCCAAGACATCAGCCTCTCTACTCGCAGCTGCAGGTGAGAACTCTATGTATTTGCTGTTTAAAAAGCTCCATTTATAATCTTTACAATATTGCACCCCCCCACACCTACACAGACTCAAAGTTACATCCATTTCATCTGTTGTCGTGTCAGTGGGAAGTGTCCAGTGGTGAGCATGAGTCAGATCAATTAAACAACTCCCACCATTGTGATCCAGCGCTGTTGTGACTGACTCCAAAGAGCGGCAAAAACCCTCTGCAGCAAGCACATACTCTGTCTTTGTACATCCAAATATTGAAGCAGTATCCAAATCAATAGTTTTACTCTAGAAAACAGACAACAGGACTTAAACATGAACTTAAAATATTAACCAGAGAGTAATAGTGTAAGTAAGATAGTGTTTTTTTAAATTAACAAGTGGTATTGCAATTTACCTTGTGTCTGATATAAGCAGCAAGGTGTGTTTCAAAGCAGCCTGCTCCATAAAGGGCAAACGGATCTCTTAGTGTCAACCTTAACACATGTTCTGCCTTCTCACATGCAACCTGAAACCATGTAAAGATAAAGGAGTAACTGCTTAATTGTTCATCAATATTATACCTGCAATGCATATTACATAATAAGAGACTATTATTATGCACAATATTATGTAAAATACATGTGTAATTACTGTTATATTTTCAATGCTGATAAATTGTCATCCACTTTTATACAGAGCTTCACCCCAAAGTGCCTTGTATCGTCAATATCTCATGAATAGCAATTGCCAATACAGCTATAATTCCACATACCTTTAACTCATTTAGCATGGTCTCATTTCTGTGACAGAGGATGAGAGTGCAGATAGCACCCTCCTCAGTGGGAACCAAATGCAGCATCGTCTTGGATCCAAACTGTCTCACAGTGATTTCTTTCACTTTTCCATAAGCACTGGGTGGGATGGTATGTAGTGTAGAAACTGGTTGTGCACCTGTGCAACAGAAACAGAAAGATGTATTAGTAAATAACATTAACCAAAACTAAACTTCTATATCCACACTACAGGATTACAAATATTTAAAAATGGTTACAGTTTTAATTCTATATATGTGTGTACATTTGTCTAAATTCATTTCTAAATAAAGAATATTTCTAGTTAAGCATCCAGCTTCCTAAACAAAACAATACAAACATGTAGTAAGCAGTTTATTTCTACCTCAGCCATTTCAGTAAGTAGAAGTCAAAGTTTTACCTACCTGTTAGCTGAATAACTGGCTCCAGTAAATTAACTCCGAGTCTCTCTATCACTGTGACGCCATGGTCCCTCAGATATTGCTGTAGTACTGGGTGGATGACCTTTTGGCACATAAACAATTTCACCTCTTCTTTAAGAACTTGCTCTCCAGTCTTCAGTAGCTGGTCCAGGATTTGTGCCTCCATGTCTGCTCCTTTGTGCACCTCAACGGTCCCTTCTCCAAGCTCAGAAAGGTCCCCGGCAAGAGATACAGTAAATATAATAGTACGCAGTAGTTCACAATTAGGAAGCCCCATGGGGTCAGGCATCTCTAGCAATAACCCAGGAAAAATGGTTGAGTCCGTCACTGGTAAGCCTTCCACTGGGAGCGTTATTATTCTTCCAAGTTTGACTACACCTGGGCTGTCACAGGGGACAGTGAGTACAAATCCGTGTACAGTCAATCTGCTGATATGAAGAATTTCTGATTCTCTTAAAACACAAGCTGGTTTGCTGGAGATGACACCATGAGCTAATCTGATGAGGCACTGGCTGCTGGTGAAATCCACTTTGACTTTACAGGCACAGTCTTCTTGTTGGAGGTAACTTGTGCACAGACCAAGTAAATACTTGTTTACTTTTTGACAAACAGCTCTTCTGAGAGAGGAAATTTGTGCTTCTTCTATAAGAGACAGACACAAAATACCTGCAAATAGACCACAGTCACTAAACCGAGATGTGTGGTTGATTATAGAAGTCCTTATTAGATTTATAAAGGGCTCTGATGAGGACAAAGCTGGTAAAAGGACAGACGACGTCGAGGTAGTGACAACCTGCCCCCCGATGTTGTTATGAATTTGTTTTAGTCTGCCTGTAGGTCCATAACAAGACTTTAGAAGTTGCCTCAAAATGTTAAGTTTGCTGCAAATATCAGCATTGTTCAGTGGCAAATCCGTACAACGAGCAGGCTGCTTCTTTTCAAGTCGAGACATTCCACAAAACAGATGAATAAAGCACTAGGTGTGCCGAAACTCAATTTGGTTATAAAATAGTGTTCATCTTGTTTAACCCTCAAAAATCGAAATAATTGAACATATAATTTAGCTGATTCTCTTTCCAAAGCAGACTGTCTTGCCACCAATCAAACACTGGTGTTTTAGATAGGGCCTGATGATAATTTTAACAAAAATAAAAACCGAATGCGATTGTTATATGTATTGTAAAGCTATCATATAAAAAACTAAATAACCAAATATTTTTAATTGAGTCTACAAATTGTTTATTAACGCTGCCATAAATCCAAAGCCAATATTCAAGTTGGCTTTCTACAAAACACCAATGGTTGCCATGGTCGCGCTTATAGCTTGGGGTCCTTTCATCATTCATTTTCTCGTCGCATAGTAACGTCATACCCCAAATATTATTTTTTTTCTTGTAATATTTATATCAAGAAAAGCAAATAACTCAACGAGAGTTCACATTTAACATTTTTAACTATAGTGATAACATAATTAAAAATAAAAGCTAATAGTTACAGTTTACAAACTTAACCGTATCTTGACGTCATCTTCCATCGCCTGGTTGTTTCAAACAGTTGGCGGGGCATGAGATTTTTTTATTTTTATTTTTACTGATTTTTAACACACAAGCACACTGTCAACGCTGGTATGTGCTATATTTTACGATGCGATGATTATATACATGTTTTCAACCTAATCGCTGCTGCTATGGCAACAATAACCTGTAATAAACTCATGTAAACATAACCATATTTTTTCAGATAATCGTAGCCCGCGTTGCCTCCTGTAATGCTAATCTACTTTACTACTGTAATTTATAAAGAAAGATTATGGTTTCTTATCTGTCAGTTTTTTAACCACGAATATTGCTTTTTAGAAATTGTTAATCACGGTATCATTTACTTTGATGAGTTTTTTTAATAGCTATTTTATCTTTGTAGATTTTCTAGGAAAGATTTTTTTGGGAGAGGTTACATCCCAATGGCTCCTCACAAATATGTCATAAAGGTAAGCGATAACTACAAATGCAAAGTAAGTGCAGTGTGTTTCAAATATGTTTTCACTCTGTCCACTAGAGGTCAGTGCAGAAGCATATTATGTGTTTACTCTGAACGTCCTCGATCTCATGTTGTTATTCATTTTATCTGGTCACCTTTTGCATGTCTTAGAACTACCTTCCTCTGAGTCTTTTGTCAGTGAGTGAAGTGATACGAAGCAGAGGAAACTCATTCTATTAAAATCCGGGTCGTTCATCCTCTGTCTGGTGCGTTGTCAGGAATAATGCACATCAGATGTTTTTGTTAAGTGCAACCTAAGCTTCTGGCCTCCCCCTTTGTTGATGTTTCATTTATTGAGAGTTTTGTAGCAGGGCAGCAGACATTTGTTAGGGATATCTCTCACATCCTCCGTAATGCCTTGTGTGCCTCGTTGAGCAGATATTGCATTCATTCCCTTTATTTGTTTCATATGCATGCCTGCGTACGGGCTGCACACCACCCCCTTCAGTTCGGCTGTGGGAGAAAAGAGGTTCCTTCCCACTGGGCACATAATGATACTGTTGTGTTACCCTGCCTGAGAAAATGCAAAGAGTCTCTACCATGCTTAACCAACTAACCACAAACAAATATGTTAGGAGCATTCAGCCTGAACAATGGCATTCAAGGCTGCTCTTTTGCAAAACCAACATCACCACAATCATAATTTTTAATGTACAAATCGATGACAGTACAGTGCAAGAATGTTTGTTGGGCGTTATGAACAAAGGAATTGCTATCATTGCTCTAAAATTCCTAAATTCATTAAATTAAATCCTTGAAAAGTATAAACCTTTACCAGACTTCTGGTAATTTCCTTCAGTTGTAATTTTATAGAGTCAACAGGACATATTAACATATAAGACTCACTGCAACTTTCTACTTCAGTAAATGTCTTAGTTATAGTCGGTGAGTCAAGATTAGTATCACATTACTGGCCTTTTTGTCACTCCACTAAAACTGTTGGTAATATGTTAAGTAAAGGATCAGAAAATAAAGTTACATCTATTGCCTTAGCCATTGCCTTAGATTCCTTGTGTTTTTAATGGAGGCTGTTTTCTGGGGTTTTATGACTGCCGCATGCTTTTTTGGTATTTTTAAAGCATGCTCCTTGCTTCAGGGAGCTGCTGCTGTGCCTCTTCTAAAATAGACTTAGTATTATTCAGTGATCTACCACTTTTGAGACCTCCCAAAAATGGTCCATAGGCTAAACCACCGTTCCATTGAGGAGCTTTAGCTTCTGCCTGGGACCTTACTGCTGTCTGCCTTGTATTAGTGTTGTTGACTTGCCAATGTAATAGTTCGACCCAAACACCAGAGTCGTTTAACAATAAGAGAAATGAGGACTCGCAGAGCAGTTTTAATGTCAGAGGTTTATGTGCTGCTTAGTGTTATTGTCACTCAGTGGATGAGCTCATATCGGGCCACACATTAAGTTCCTCTGTACTCTCAAGACACTGTTTGACGTTTTCCAGCTTAAGGGGGATTCTTACATGAGAAGTTGACAAGGCTAATGCAGTTTACATGTTTGCGTTGCTACCCGAGTCCACATGCTATTTAATGGTTCTCAAATTGTAATACAGGTATTTTAACTAGTGGCACGCATGCTTCATCTTGCAGAGTACTCTTGTGGTTTTAGTTTAGTTTAAATTATTGCTAGCTTTATTTACTCAGATATTTTCTTTGATAACTAGCTTACTTGACTCCTATTTAAATTTAGAGCTGGTTTACAGGTATGTGCAATTAATCAAACTTAAAATTGTGAAAAAATCCAATTACAAAAATAATAATTACTTTCAGATTCCATGATATGTGCACTTGTTCTGCCTCTCAAAACCTGGAGCAAACCACAATTCTAATCTTAAACAAAATTGTCACAAAACATAACAAAATAAATTTTATATGTCTATACTTTCTCTACTGGATAAATTTGGCAGCATAGAAGTAATCATTCTAATTCATTGTGATTTCAACTTTGACCCAAACAATTGTGATTATATTTTTTACCCTGATCAAGCAGCCCAGGGTTAAGACCGTTCAGTTGTTCAGTCCAGATTAAAACTATGCCCGAGCCTGCAGTTTCTCTACATCTCCTAATTTCTCACAAGGATGTTTCATCTATGCTTTGTTTGCAGTGTGTTACCTGGAGATATTCCTGTTCGTTCATGCTGCTGAAATTCCACTGCTGGGTTGTGTCTCTTTTGATCATCAAATAAAGACTACTCAGGTGTGCTAACATTTACCTGAATGGAAGGGAGCTTTGCGCATAAAGAACTTCCGAAAAGTCCACTCATACAAGCCTCGGTTGTCAAAATCTGTCATTTTTGAAAAATTAGATTTGATTTTTATTTGTGATTGTGTGCTTTTGGGGAAGCTCTGGTGACTCACAGCTGAGACAGAGTGGGTGAGAGGGAGGCAAAGAGAGAGGGAGAGGATTAAAGAGAGAGAGATGGAGATGGGGAGTGAGTGAGAAAGTGGGAGAGAGAGGGGCTTGAAAGAAAAGGAGGGAGAGAGAGAGGAATAGGGTGAAAAAGACTGAGGGAGAGAAGAGGAGAGGGGGAGGAAGGGAGGATGGGAGAGGGTGAAAAAGAGAGAGAGGGAAAGGGGGTGAAATAGAGCTGGGAACAAGGCAAGTCTGAGGCATGGGAGTGAAGCTGTCACACCCTCAGATCTAAAGAGCTCCCCTGGGTCTCTCTGCAGACTGTAGACAGAACCAGGGAATGTTGGACAAAGGGAGAGAGATGCAAGTTTTATTGAGTGCGACCGCATCTGCTGCCCCTGCACCGCTAATGTAAACATCTGCGGCTGGTTATTGTTAGCCTGTGAGAGCTAAGTGCCGGCCCGAGCAGGTCTGGTTCTTATATAGACCGATAGCAATGGCAAAGGGCAGTGAGGCTGGGGAGGAGGAGGCTAGATCCACTCTCTCCGCATACTCTGGGCTGGGTGCAGCACCAGCATAGGCTCTGGGCTCAGGGAGGATGGAGAGGCCGGTCTGGGAGAGAGATAAGAGAAGGTAGAGAGTGTTTTGGGAACAGAAAGTGATATAGACCAGAGCTCCTCATTCTCAAAGAGCCTCAGAAAGTTTGTGTCTGAGTCACAAAGTTGTTTATATAGAAATTATTATTTTTTCAATGCCGTTCTCTCAAATATTTTATTTCCCCATGGTCATTTTTGTCACTGGCTTGCATATTTTATAATCTATTTGAAGATTTATTCTTGTTTTGGTCAAATATTTAGAAAAGAATAGTTAGGAGCCAAGAAACTGCATCTGCTTTACAGTATATAGTCAAAAATGCAAACGTCTGCCACTAGGAGCCAGTATAGGAACATAATTGTTGTTATTGGTTTGACCCTTAAGTTGTGACCTGTTGTGATTATCATTGCAAAAAGGTAAGAGCCATTATCTTCAGTAGACTTCCAGTTCTGCTACAGAAAGAGTTAAGGTGTAACCGGGCGCCACCAAAGGCATATTTCTTTTATTATTGTCACATAAAAAAAACAGACTTTCCACAACTGTCCAGAAACCTGTTTACTAACTGGTTGTAACTAACTACATCATATCATACGTTGTTTCTACAAATTTCATGCAACTACACATGCTACCCAAAGTTATGGAGAACTTTGGGCCTTAACTAAAATGAAGAATATACTTCTTCAATGCAACTGCTCATTTATCTAGCATAGTTGTTTGGTAACCTCTTCATGTCCTTCCTTACTAACTAACCAGTCTCACAATTACAGTGTATAAACATTCCAGTGCTCCCAGTCTTATCTCTCCTCATTCATCACGTTCTGGTTTTGACTTGGCCATGACTCGACTTTTCTCACTGAGTCTTGACGACCGCACATATTTGAATGCCTCTCCTTTGTCTTTGTTGACTCTTTGTGCCCTGCAGGATGTCTGATTGGCAGTGGGGAGAATCAGGATATAGAGAAATTGCGCATAGCCTCCAGGAAGACGCAGCTCTCCTATTCATTGCTGTTTGACAAGACACAAAAGATGGCACAATAAAGGATTTGATATGAAGTAGCCGGTTCTCATTCTCCC